ACCCTCGGCCCGGGACCCTCGGCCCGGGACCCCGCGCCATCCCTTGGTCCCCTCCCCCACTGCATCCCTAGCCCCTCCCCGTGGGCGACCCCTCGAAATGGCAATGGCATCCGTGGGGGAAGGCCACCCCCGCCGCTGGGGGCATTTGGGGGGCCTCGTTTTTCTTCCTTTTGGGACCCCTCCCTAGACGGAGGCCGGGCGGGAACCAGCACTGCTCCCCCTCCCTAGTGGCTCCGGGAAATCTGCCTCCCCGCCGGCGGAGCGGGGTTCACTATTCTGGATGAGGGGCGCGGGGAGGGCCTGACGGCTGTCTGGGGGTCGCCGGGCACGGGGTCAGGGCTGGGTGTGTCTTGGGTCTGGAGTGGATGTGGCTTTTGCTCGTGGGTGTGCCCAGACCATGGCCACTTTCAAGGCATCGAGTCTATTCTCGTTACTGGGGAAGGGTGTATATTTGGTTCCTCCGAGGGTCGCTTGTGGCCCAGAGTGGGGGAGGGGTGGAGAGTGACTTATGTGAAGGTGACCCGAGGGGGTGAATGAGGGTGACCGCGCGCGCGAGCTCGCGCGCGCGCGCGTGTGTGTGTGCTCACTTTACTGAAAGGTACTGGGACCTGTGGGGTAGGTAGGTAGGTACAGGGAAAAGGGAAGGGTGGGTGCCACCATGTCCTTACCTATATGTGTGGTTGTGTGAGTGTGACCCATTGTACATGGTATGTACCAGTGACAGGGCTGGGTGACAGACAGTTGGCTATGGCTATATGCCTGCATATAGTGTGTTGGGGGGAGAAACTGCTGTGGTGGGTGTGTGCTTGGATCCATGAGAGTGTGTGCGTGTGCATGCCTGTGCACAGATGACCCCGAGGGGGGCTGAGTGTGGGCAGGTAGAGGTGAGTGTGTATGCATGAGGTCACCCTCGAGTGTCTCCTTGAGTGACTGAAGCAGCTGTGTGGGGTTGAGCTCTGTCCCAGCTCCTTCAAGGGGAGCAGGAGGAGGAGGATATAAGGAGGAAGGGGCCCCTGCCCCTCGAGGGACTAAAGTCCCAAGTGAGTTCCCTCGTGGGCACATGTCTGGACCCTGGACTGGGAGTCAGCTTTGGGTTTCTAGGCCCAGTCTTTTTGGTTCTTTCCTATGCCTGTCCCCTATTCCCCAGGCTGAAATGGACCCAGTCCTCTAAGGCAGCCCTCAGGTGTCCATCCTGCTCCTGCAAGTCTCCTTGGGTCTCGGTTGACCAGCCTGTCAAATGGGAGGAGGACAGGCTAAGGCTCAGAGGTTGCTTCTCAGACAGATGAGCTACTCACAGCCTTACCCATCTGGGGGCTGTGAGCCCAGGGTAAATGAGTGTTGAATGCCAGGTCAGGTATCTGCCTGGTGACTGGATGCCTCAGCGCCAGCTCTCCCCTAGACAGGGTAAGGAGAAGAGGTCCCCGAGAACGACAGAGACCCAGCCCATCCTAGCAGCTGGGTCACCTTCTGAGCTACACTTCTGCAAGACCATCTTTGAAATCACACAGCCTTAGGTTCAAATCCTGCTACGGCCACTGGTTTGTGGTCTGACCTTCCACAAAGCCTCTCAACCTTTCAGCGCCTCCATTTCCCCCTCTGCGAAATGGGGCTAATGACACTCTCCTCAGATTAAATGAGAGGACGCGTGTGCTCTTGCTTAGAAGGAGCCCAGGAAATGCTTGGTGTTTAATGAATGAAAAGGGGCTCAGGACAAAATCCTTTAGACTTAGAGGCCCAGCAGGGATCCTAAGCTGTGTGACCCTGGGCAAGTCACTTGGTTTATTTCCATAAACCAAGGCTAATAATTCGTGCCCCAGGAGGCGGTGGAGGGAATTAAATGAAAGCATATGAGCTGACACTCCCTGGTGTACTGTAGGGCCTCAGTGAGGCCAGGTGCCCCTGGACTTGAAGGTGAGATTAACTGTGTGGTTCAGATCCTGTGCTGGGTGGTAGATAAAGCCATCTCCTGGGACTTTGGGCCTGGAGGCCAAGGTGGCTGGCAAGTCGGCTGGCAGGCTTTTCTTGGACCAAGAGAGGGACAGGGCTCCAGATGGGGAAGAGGGGTTCCCTTCTTAGGGGTCAGGCTGTGGAGGAGGGACATTACCTCTTCTGTCCTGGGAAGCAGAAGGGGTTTCTGGGTGGTGCCCAGTTGCCAGGGGTGCCACACTGGAGGGAGAGGGAGATGCCTGCAGCAGGGGGGACTGAGTTAGATCAAAGGGCCCCAACTGGGATGCCTCCAGGAGTGGCCTCCATGGTGGGTCCTCTAAGGACATCACTGGGTTGGGCAGTGGCTGGCTCAGGGCAGGGGAGGGACTAGATGACCCCTAGGTCTGCCCACCAGCTTGAAAGGGAAGAGTGTGTGTGGCGAGAGCTTCCAGGGCCACCTCAGTGGGGATAGTAGGTCTCATTCATGCTGCAAATGGTGAGTCGGGGTGTGTGCGTGTCTCTTGGCATCTGCTTAGGGGAGTCCTCTCCTCTGAGAGACCAGGTGACCGACTCTGAGGGACAGCTGCCTTCAGGACCCCTGCAGCTGTTACACTTAAGTCACTGCCCAGAAAGGCTTGGAGTGATCCCGGAAATGTTATTTTAGAAGCTCAGGGCTGGAAGGGATTTTAGGTGTCATTTAGTCTTTTTTGAATGCTCCCAGTGATGAGAGTTAACTGTTTTGTGGCCATGTGACCTTGTGAAAGTGGCGCGGAGCCTTTGTTCCCACCTCTGTAAAATGGGGAGAATATGAGAATGAAAGGCGTTAGAACGGAAAGCTCTTAGCACAGTAAGCACCTAGTAAGCACTCAACTAATGCTGATTTCTTGTTCTTTTTCAAGGTTGCCATTCTGTGTTTGGGAATGTGGTAGGGGCTGAGGAGTAGAAGGGTGAGGCACCCTGGGGAGGGGGAATCAGTTGCGGTAATTCTTTTGAAGCCCCACCGCCAGGCCTGGTGGTTTCTGTCCCTCCCCACCCGCACCGTTTCAAGCATCTAAGACATCCCTAGTCCTCACCCTTCCAGTGACTCCAGTTGACTGTGAACGTTGGTTTGCCAGGGCAAGATTGTCCTCTAAAAGTTGGGGATGCTTGGGCTCTTCCAGGTCATGCCCTGACACAGGGACACCACAGGGATCTGCTGCCTGTTAGCCCCCAAGGTGGCAGGGACTCTGGGGACAGATACGTGCTGTGCGACTTTGGGTAAGGGAGTTCTCTGTTTCAATTTCCTCATCTGTAAAATGGGGACAGTGCCAGCATCACAGGGATGTTGTGACGGCAGAGTGAGCTGCTCTGGTAGACTGAGCACAGCCTGCACGTGGTGAGCTCTCCGGAGATGGGGTCTTTCCAAGAGGGGCCTGGAAGGGTCAGGGAGGGCATCCAGAGGAGGAGGTTTTGAGCCAAGCTATAAAAGCGGCCACCACGTGACAGTGAGCAAGCTGTAGCCTGCCCTGAGCCTTGACTTTCTTACCTGTCAACTAGGGATAAATACTTGACTTACACGGCTGTTCTTGGCAGGGTTACAACATCTTCACGGCAGAGTTGGGATTGGAATCTGGTGCCTTCTGCTCCCTGGGAAGCAGCACAGTGCCTCCAGCTGCTAATCCAGTGTCTGTGTTGCCTGTGTTGGGGATGGGTGTGGGGTTGAGCTCTGCTGGAGAAAAAAATAGTTTGGCCTTTTGAAAACAAATGGCTCCTCATGGATTGGGGCATGGAGGTCCCTGGGGTTCCCAGGTCAGCACTTGGGCAGGGCAGCTCTGGGCTTGGGCCTGGGAACTGCTGGGGCAGCAGTGAGGTGGATGAGAGGGGTCATCCTGAGTGAGAGAAGAAGGGTGAGACAGAGTTTCCCCCAGAAACCAGGTCCTGTTGCAGGTCTGCCTCCTGCCCCTCCCATTGGAGCTGAGACTTTCTCCCAAAACTGCTTGGGAGAGAGGGATTGGTCATTCTTGAAAGGGCTGCAGCAGGATTCCTGAAGGCTGAAGCCAACTGAGGATGGGAGGTGGTAAAGTGTCCATCCTGCCAGCCTGCGGGGGCCGAGGGAGTGATTTGGGAGGCAGGTTCCAAGCCTCTGAGGGCTTCATAGTAGAACCACTATTTAATCCTCACAATAATCTTTGGAGGTAAGAATTATTAGAACTCCCATTTTACAGAGGAGGAAACTGAGGCACAGAGAGGTTAAATGACTTGCTCAAGGTCACACAGCTGGGAAGTGGCAGAGCTGGATTGAGCCAGGACCTGGCAGGCTAATAGAACTGGGCTATGGTCCTAATTTCATCCCCTCTTGCTGTGTAATCTTGTGCAAGTTACTTCACCTCCTTAGGGCCTCCCTACCTCCAAAATTATGCCTGCATTTCTCTTATTGCATAAGTGCTTGCTCTTTGCCAGGCTCTGTGCCAGGTGTGTCCCATATCTTTTGTCATTTAATTCTCACCCCAGCCTTGGAGGTGGTGACACAGCCACACTTTGCAGGTGGGGGAAGGGGCTTGCCCAGGGCCTGACCCATCCTTCTTTACCACCTCACAGGGTTCTGTCATCTGTAAGATGGGCTATTGCAAGCGTCGCTGGGCATAGATTGAGGGAGAGCTTGTTTTGTAAACTGTGCCGTGCTGTCAACAAAATTTTGTGTGTGTGGTGGGGACAGGGCTCCTGTCTGGGTCATATGATCATGGCACCGACTAGGGGAAATATTTAGAACCTCAGGATGCGAGGGGTCTAAAAGCCACCATTCCTCCTGGACACATGTCGTGGGGGCTCACTCTGTGTGGGTGGCCAGGCCTGCCTTTAATCCCCTCTGACTCTTAGAAAGTTGTTGTGTGCTCAGATTTACGTCCAGGCTGCCCCACCCCTGAGTCCTGGCCCCATTGCACCCAAGTTCTCTCTGGCCTGAGTGATTGAGGCTCAGAGAGGAGGAGTGACTTGGTGGAAGTCACACAGCAGTCAGAAGTGTCAGAATGCTTTCTCGATAGACCATGAGCTCCTGGGAGCAGCCTATGCGGTCGCCTTGTTCTCTGCTGAATCCCCAAGGCCAACTTTGTGTCTGGCCCAGAATCGAATGGTTTGAATGAATGAATGAGTGAAGGAAGGAAGGAAGAAAGGAAGAGGGACAGACCGCAAGCTCTGGAGCCCAGGCTGGGGCTTCGTTTTCTCTCCTGTAGAGGTGGGTTGGCGGGGACAGAGAGGGACTGTGAGGCTGGCAGAGTTCTGCTGGATCCAAGGCCTGTTCCTGTGGGCTGGGAGGCGCCAGGGGGCCGCATGGGGCGAGCCTACAGTCTGAGTGCCAAGGTGCGGCCACCATGTCTGGGTGGCCCAGAGGCGCTGTGGCTCTGGGCTCCAGCCCAGCTGCTTGCAGCCCTGTGATTTTGTGTCTGCTGGGGCAGGGTGGCGGGAGCCAGGAACTGTTCCAAGACCCAGCCCGCCCCTTGCTCCCACCCGTCCCAACTCCCACCCCAGTGGAGAGCAAGGTCTGGGTTGGCTCTCGATCACCTGGCTTGGCTTACTGTCCCCTCTGAGGGTCTACTACATCCTGGGAACATCAGGCCAGTGCCGGATAAATGTTTGTTGACTGACACCCCACCCCCTCGCCTTGGCTCTCTGTCTCCCAACATTCCACGAGGCTGGGTAGCCTTTACTTCCGGCCCCCTTCCTCCAGTGCAGGCGCTGGCCAGAGGGGAGGCCACTCCCCTCCCCCACTGACCAGGCCTATTCTCAGCGCCAAACAGGAAGCCATGATTACAGGGGCAGTCTGAGCAGCAATGGCTGAGGGCCCAGCTGGGGGATAGGGGTGGGGGTAGCCCCTGACAAATGATCTGGCCTCTGCCCTACCTGGCTGTTGTGGGTGGGAGGCACAGCTGGCCTTTTGTACCAGGTGGAGAGGGTTCTCCAACTTCTGACGTCTGCCTTCTTCCTATTCCTGGATTCTCACCTGGGCCTTGGTGCTGTCTGTTTTGGGGTCTCCAAACCTGAGGGTGCGGCTTGAGATAGTAGAAGGAGCAGGAACCCAAGAGGCCACTGGACTAGGGTTGAAATCCTGGTTCCACCAGTTTCCTGTGTGACCTTGGCAGGTGTACTTCACCTCTCTGAGCCTCAGTCTCCACTTCTTTAAAATGACTGAGGGATACCTGTGCCTCAGAGTCGTTTGGGAATGAACAACATGAAATAATGGAGTTTCTGATGAGGACCGGGCTGCTCCTG